CCACCTGCCCAGTTACCGTCCCCTCCCAGACCTCAGAGTCTGCAACAGAACCTGAAGCTTGACCCTCTCTACACCTTCCTTCTTATTATCATTCCAGTTTTATCACCTTTGGTCTCTTTTTCCCCTCAAGCTTTGTCATGTACAGTCTTTAGCCTTCCTGACCAGGCTTGCAGGACATCCTTTGGGTGTTTCTCCCCGGACCTTCTGGGCATGTCTTGTTTCTTTTGTGCTGCCTCCCACAGTGCTCAGCACAGTGTGGGTCAGGGCCACTAAGTACAGTTGGTGGTGTGTGCCCTGATCGGGACATGAGTAGGGGTGAGTTCAGCTCATCTCCATTCACCAAAGCATGCTGCCTGCTGGAAGGCACGAGGGGGTACCTTTTTCTAATTTGTACAAAGGTACCTGCCAAGTGTGATAGTGCAGGTCACTCAGTGGGTGCTTACTAAGTAAGTGCTGAATGAATGAATGAATGAATGAACACATGACATAAAGTGGAGGCTGTGGGGATAAATAAGAGGCTTCTGTAGTCATCTAGGTAAAAGTTAGTGAGGTCCTAAACGGGGATGTAAACTGTAGGGAAGGAGAGGATAAATATAGGAGAGGAAGCAACAGGCCATGGGTCCCATGAAGGCAAAGGAGAGAGGGAATAAAATTGACCTCCTACCTGTAATTGGCACTAAAACTTGACTGTTGCACAAGAAGAATAAGGACAATGTGGTTGTAGATCAGTCCTATGTGCCCACTTCTGGAGAGCTGGCTTTGCTTAGGTAACAATGTGACAGGACTTGTATACCTCTCATGTGCGGGACCCTGTGCTGAGCAGTGTTGGGGAGATGTAAGACCACCCTTCCCCCAGAGAGCTTATGATCTCATTGACGGTGCTGGAGACAAGATTCCTGATGCAGGGCTGGGCTTAGCAGCACCGCACAGGGGTGACATGTCACAATCATGTCAGCTACCTGCGCATGCTGCCTTACCGCTGTGCGGAGCTCCCCTGTGTGAGGTCGCTGCTCTGTTGCGTCTCACTGAAAAGGACATTGACACTTAGGGCGGTGGTGTGGCTTGCTTCGCATCCCATCTTCCGACTGCCAGTCACAATATTGGGCTGAACTATATAAAGTTACTATTTTTTGCAGATCATAAATGACCAGACATCAGCAATTTCATAGAGTTCATCCAAACACTTTCCACTATATTACACTTCCATTTGAGACGTTTCTACTGTGTCCTCATGTGGTGTAAGCAGTGAGGGAACAATCTGAGGTCTCTCTTGTAAGGGCACTAATCCCATTCATGAGGCATTCACCTTCATGACTTAATCACCTCTGAAGGTTCCACCTCCTCATACCATCCCACCAGGGATTAGGTTTCAACATATGAATTTTGAGGGTACACAAACATTTTGTCTATAGCCATTCCCAAAAGGAATTAGGTCAAAATTACTTTTTAAAGTCTCTTAATTGGTGTCATCAGCTGGCTCTCCAGAAAGCTTGTGCCACCTTGATTAACTTTAGCCTTGATAGCAGAACCAGTCCTTTGCTGGTTCTGACTGGTTTTGATTGACAAGTAAGTTTGAAGACAAGAGAATTTGAAGATAATGGCCAGGAAAGGCTCAGGGATCAGGTGGACCTTGAACTTAGCTTGAAGGATCCATAAGGTTCAAATAAAATGGGAGGAAGAACTTTTCCATCAGAAGCACAGGTACAGAGGCAGAGGTACAGTGGAAACAGCGAACACCACATATGGTGGAGACAGTCATCTTCTAGTATTCTTTGGGTGGGTCGTTACTCCATGGGAATAGTGGGATGAAAATTGAGGAAAGGAATATCGACTGAGACTGAACTTAATCAGGTAGCTAATGGAGAGTTGTTGACAGTTTTTGAGTGGGGGAAGAGATGAGCAAAACTTTATTTTCAGGATTGCAGAAAATGTTGGGAAACCAGAAACATTTTTTTTTATTCTCACTCAAGGACATTTTTGCATTTATCTTCATATAGAGCAGGAGGGAGAAAGGGAGGAAGAGAGAGAGAGAAACATCGATGTGAGAGAGACACATCGACTGGTTGCCACTCACACAACCTCAACCGGGACTGGGGACAAACTGCAACCGAGGTATGTGCCCTTAGCAGGAACCAAACCCGGACTCTCTGATCCACAGGCCAATATTCTAACCACTGAGCCAAACCGCAGGGCCAGAAACATTTTTAACAGTAGCAGAATTTTTTTTTTTTAATGGTCATCTGTTTTAAAAATTACAAAGCATATAAATGTCCTAGGAATGACTTGCTCTAGTGCTTAGCATGTGACAGTGGTCTGACTTGTCATGCCACCACTGACCCGTCAGCTGTGTCTGGGGGCCCAGGCTCTGAGATTCACTGTAGTTGAAGATATTAGTGGCTGGATCCCAAAAGGTGGTAAGTCTGTAACAAAAATAAATTAATTTAAAAAATAGAAGAATTTGTATGTATATATGCATAACCAATGGACATAAACAACAATGCGGGGGGGGGGGCGGAATGGGGAGGACGGTGTCAATGGGGGAAAAAGGAGAAACATCTGTAACAAAAATAAATTAATCAAAAAGGTGGTAAGAAGCTATTTCGCATGGAGGAAATCTCAATGTTAATGAAGTAAGGGTCAGTCACCACAGGGACAGAGACGTCCAGACATCCAAGCTGTCAGAGACACAACTTGGATGGAAAGGAAAGCTGAGGAAGGACCCACTTTCCACAATCCTCACTTTGGCTGTTACACATGTGATAACAACAAATCCTGAGGAAACCTGATTTTGCCCAAGTATTTCCTGGAAAACAAAAAATGTCATCTCTTTTAATGGCACTTTTGCTAGTTTTAAGGAAATGTATATTGAAAACTCTGGTTTCCAGTGTAAATAAGTGAAATGGTGATTGTTGCTGTTACATCATTATATTTTATCCCTTTTTAAAGGTAAACCAAATATTTTCAATCAATGCAAAATAATGACAGATATTTCAGGTATACTTTAATTAGCAGACCATAATAGATTTTACTTATTATTATTATTTTTTTATCCTCACCTGAGGACATTTTTCTATTTTTTGTTCAGGTAGAGTGGGAGGGAGAGAGAGGAACAGAGAGAGAGAGAGAAACATCGATATGAAAGGAACACATCGAGTGGCTGCCACCCACACGACCGACCAGGGCCGGGGACAAACTGCAACCGAGGTACATGCCCTTTGCGGGAACCGAACCCGGGTCTCTCCGGACCGCAGGCCGACGCTCTAACTATTGAGCCAAACCGGCCAGGGCAGATTTTACTTATTATTAAAAAAATATTTTTTCTTTACTGATTTTAGAGAGAAAGGAAGGGAGAGAAAGATAGAAACATCGATGAGAGAGAACATCGACTGGCTGCCTCCTGCATGCCCCTCACTGGGCATGTGCTCTGACTGGTAATAGAACCGATGACCTCTTGGTGCACGTGTCAACACTTAACCACTGAACCACACCAGCCGGGCTATAATATATTTTATATTAAATAAAATGTCTTCTAAGACATGTGCACTTTTAAAAGCCATCTATATCTCATCATACCTCACACAGCACAGTGCTTAATTATGAAAAAATAAGACTCCGACTCAAATTTTAGCGTTCATGGAGATTGGCTGCAAGAAGGAATGAAGGGCCCCAGAGAGACAGTGATTTTTCTTGAGATACATTGTCAGAAGGCGCACTAATCATGGCAGAATGTTGCAATCATTCAAAATGTGTGATGGCCTGAACTTAGGATAACTACCAAAAAGCTTTTGTGAAGAGTCTAGCAGACCTGATTTTGAAAAGGATACTGTTGTTTCCAAAGAGAAAGCAAGCGAGGCATTACCAGTTCGGCTTAACCTTTTCATACCTGGAGCCTTCATGACATTCAGCTTGGTCTGTCATGGGCAAGTGTCATTGGGCTTAGAAGAATCTGGTGCTTCGTTTGTGTTCTTCTATCACCATCTTGAAATGCCTAATAAATTCTGAACAAGAGGCTCCACATTTTGATTTTACACTGGGAGCTACAAATTATGTAGCAGGTCCTGTCCTGATTATGAAAGCTGATTTCACCTTCCTATTTGATATATTACAGGCTAAATTTTGGTTTTCCCAGGATCAAGCTATGCACCAGGTGAGGGGTGAGGGCTACGGTGAGCCAACGGAGCTACCGGCCAATTCCTCTGATTTGCTCAGGAAGCCAGACTGAGTATAGTAGGAAAAGGACGGAGGGTGCAGTGTTCAGGAGCAGGCAGTGGTTACTGACAGCTCAAGTTTCCCACTGAGAACAACAGCAGCTGCTACTACTCTTGCTACGCCCACCACCACACCGAGGAGCTATCTGCCAGGCTCTGCTAAGTGCTATATGCATTGTTTCCTTGTTCTTAATCCTCTCAGCATCCTGCAGAAGGAGTATTTTTTTTATAAATAAAGAATCTGAAGTTTCCAGTAATTAAGTTGCCCACAATTACAGAGCTAGTAATGATCTTTTCTCATTAACTGTCCTTTCTACTCAAGAAGAGGCCAACTATTCTTGTCACTTGTTAAAATTGAACTTGAATCATTTATTTGTCTACTGGGAAAGACTCAAGCTTACATAATTTATATTCTTTTCTTTCTTCACTTTCATATAATTGTAGATAGTGTTACTATTTAGGAACTTTCAGATATAAATGTCTTTTCTTTTTCTCCATGGATGATATTTGGAATGTGTACTAATACTGGAAGTGTTTTTCCAAGAACACTTTCCTTTTCTCAGAAGATTGTGTCACTAAACAGTGTTATATATATTTTTAAACCTCAGCTGAAATTACATTTTGTTTCTTGGTTGTTTCTATTATTGTTTTCCTAGTTATGTGTGATTATGTTCTGTTGTAATTAAAAGAGGCTATCCATGCTTTCTATTTTAATTTTGCATTAAAACGAGGTTTTTCAACAGTTTGTAAATAAATTCTGTTCTGGACTAAGCCCAGTTATGTCTCCTGCAGGACAGCATCTCTGGCTGCTGATGTGCCCAGGCTTGGATATGGTTGCTCATCCTATCACAAGTACATTCCCCGGAGGGCAGTGCTCTATGTACCTGGAAATGATGAAAAGAAGATACAGAAGATTCCGTCCCTGAATGTAGATTGTGCGGTGCTCGACTGTGAGGACGGCGTGGCTGTGAACAAGAAGGTAATGGCATAATTTTTTTAGGATGGGAAAAAGAACTGGATTGAAATTTGGTGGCTCCTGGTAGCATTCTCTCACTGTTTGGAAAGTTCTACTAGTCTCCCATTTTGCTGATTACTAATCTATTCTTGACTTAGCCCTTGTGCGGGTTCTGAATGTGTGTCTCATTTCTCCAAGAGAAAAAAATCCAACGAAATGTATTTAAAATCATGACCTTCAGTATATGTGACTATGTGTGTATATAGTTAACTACAGATTAGATAAGTCCTGTAGTAATCATGATTAGAGGAGAATTTATTTTAGCATGTAGCACAGTGAGGCATCAGGTGTAATTAGATAAACTTCTAATTACATTTCTTCACAAATCATGAGGCTATCTTTCCACACCCACCTGAGGAGGTTTTCTGCCATTCAGATGAGTTGGAAATATGGTCTATTGCCTCACATTTCCTCCCTGTTCATCTGTGTTCCTATGCTCATTCTTGTACCCAGAACCTAAGGAGGGGAAGGGGAGAGAAGAGTTTATGGTGGGCAAGCTGTGCCCACCATCTTGGCATCTGTGTCTTCATCAGGACACTGCAGTTCTCCTAATGCTCTTGAACTTTCCATTCATTGCTAGACACACTGCTTCATGCATGCTGAGCTGTTAGTCAGCTGAATTTCCCTCTCATCCACAGAAACTTCTGCAAGTCAGGCTCGTTCTTGTAAAACTTTTTTTTTCTTTAAGTTTCTATCCAGGATTTAATTTTATCTCATGTATTTCATTTCATAGCCCTAGACTGTCAAGGTCTTTTTGGATATTTTATTTCATCATCCAACATTTATATTATCTGAGCATTTGACCAACATACCGTGTGAAAATTTATCAAGTTTCTGATGGAGATGTTGAAGAGGTTGGAGCCAGGTGCTGCACAGACCTGTCACTAGAAACATGTGTTCCAGCTTATTTAACCAGCATTTATTTATTTAGTTATAATTTTTTTTCTTTATTCATTTTAGAGAGAGAGGAAGGGAGAGGGGGAGAGAGATAGAAACATCAATGAGATAGAATATCAATTGGCCACCTCCGGTATGCCCCCCACTGGGAATTTGACCCACAACCTAGGCATGTGCCCTGACTGGGAATTGAACCGGTGACCTCTTGGTACATGGGTCGATGCTCAACCACTGAGCCACACTGGCCAGGCTTAAGCAGCATTAAGATAGTGCTGACTAAATGCCAGGCACCATCCCAAGGGCTTTTTGCATAACAACCCAGTGAGGTAGTATTACATTCCTTCTACAGTTAAGAAAACTGAGGCATGGTGAGGTCAGGTTCATGAATCAATACTGTGAATGTAGTTATTCAATCAACAACTCTCCTAAAATTCAATCTTTTCACAAGGATACTATAAGAGACTTCTGTCTAGTGCCATTTCACAAAGATACCTTTCCTACCTTCCTGTCTAGGAATCTTTTCTCCTCCCACACCTCTATGTCGCCAGAAAAATGAAGTTAGGCAGATGAGACTTGATCTTGAAAAATCTGTATCAGTACCCTCTTTTTGAAGTGTGGAGACACACAAATAGTAATAGGTACCATTTACTGAGAGTTTTCGATAGGCCGAGCTATATTAAATGCTTTATATATCTTATTTCATTGAATCTTTACAGAAAAGTTTTTAAATATATCCAAGGTCACAGTGCCATTAAATGGCAGAACCAAGATTTGTATCTCCTAGAATTTTTGCCAGTAATTAGCCTCAAGTTCATCTGTTGGCATATCCCATAAGTAACCCTTGCCCCCTTTCTTGGAAAGCTAGTGCCTTGACTTCTCGTACTCTTTTGTCACCTTTGTGTACTTCTTGGTTTTTCAAAGATCATAACAGGAGTTCCATGTTCATATCTGCAAATTCTTTCAGTGTCCTGGGTCTAAACCATTTAGATCTAGGGACTTCAATTCATTTGTGATGTCCAGAGAAGTCTGACACTTCTCACATATCTCATATTCTTTTTTCTGTCATGAAGTCACCTCATAATCATGTTTCGTGTTTGAATATTAGTTTTGATGGAGGAGATAGAATAGAGACCATTTTCAGAGTGTTTATTTCTTATGAAACACATATTAAATTTCTCATTTCAGGTGCTCTAGTTTTATTTATTTATTTATTTATACACACACACACACACACACACACACACTTTTTTTGCTAAACTGAACTATTATTGCCTAATTCAACTTTATTGGCATTATTAAAACTTTATCATTTCATTTTATTTTATTTTTAAAATTATATTGATTGATTTGAGAGAGAGAGAGAAACACCTATATGTTGTTCCACTTCTTGATGTCCTCATTGGTTGCTTCTTGTATGTGCCCTGACTGGGGACCAAACCTGCAACCTTAGTTTATAGGGGATTGAACCCACAACCTTGGCATATGGGGACAATGCTCTAAGTGAACTATTGGGCCAAGGCTGTATTTCATTTTATTAATAGACTAACACAGTATTTTATTTGATTGACTCTGTGGAGTATGGGCTTGTAATGAAACCAATAGGAGTTTCCAGAGCAGTTTGTAAGTATGTAATACCTTCCATTGGGCTCTAATCCCATCATGCTAATCCAATTTGTGTTTACGTAGCTCCTTCATGTCAAGGAAGGTACTACCAGCTCACCTTCCCAAGCATAGATGATGAAAAGCCTATCTCCACTGCCCTCTTATCTTCTTGTCATTGTCAAATGCATGAGGGGATGCAGGACTGCCCAAGCCCCTGCTTGCTGAGACACTGAACATAAGCCAAGTAATCACAGATTTCTGGTGAATCTCCACGACACTTGGGGAAGGCCAACAAGGTACAAGTGGAGTAACTGGAAGCAGGATTCCAGGGTTGCCATTTTTATTTATTTACTTAAGCATTTAATTAAGTTTAAATATGTAAATGTAAACACTCAATATTTAAATGAGTATTGAGTATCTACTCAACTGGGCATCAATGCAAGCAGGAGGGGAGCAACTTCAGCTGCAGGGCCCCAACCTGGAGGAGTCAAAGGCTGGTGGTGAGACAGGAAAGAAAGTAAATCATAGTAATCTTATAAGATAGGTCTATAAGAATGCATGCTTTTTATTATCACTTGTTTCTAAATATTTTTTTCATTTCCATTTTATCTCTTGCATGAGCCATGAGGTACATGAGAGAGCTTCCCAAACTCTCTGTGGTGAAGAACTTGTTTGGGTATTTTTATTTGTTGTTGTTACTTTGTTTCATTTTTAAGCATTTCCAATCTATTGTGGATTTATACTTTTGAAAAATCCAAAAAGAAAAGATTTGCTAGAAAATTAAATGCAGCTTGAGTGTCACAGCGACGTCAAGTGCTATATGAATTTCTGAATTCACTCCCATTTCATTCTTATCTCCTAGTGGTATGGTCACGGTCAGAGTTTGTGTACCAAGTGTAGTCGGCAGACCATGATTTGAGCAGCAGGGACTTAGAATTTTAAAATTGTCGAGTGTATGGCATATATTTTAATTTATTCTTTTGTTACTGACCTCTAGCTTAGTTGCTTGATGGTTACAGAATGTGATCTGAATGATGCTGATTTTTGGAAATTTGTTGAATCCTGCTTTAAGGCCTACTATACGAGTCATTTTTGGAAATGTTTTATGTGTGCTTAAGAAGAACGTGTATTTCCTGTTTACTAGATGGAGAGTTCTGTGTGTTCTCCAGTAGACCAAGCTTGTTAATTATGTTGTTAAAAGTATCCAAATCTTGCCCTGGCTGGTTTGGCTCAACGGTTAGAGCATCGGCCCGTGGACCAATGAGCCTCGGGTTCGGTTCCGGTCAAGGGCATGTACCTTGGTTGCGATTCGTCCCCAGCCCTGGTTGGGGTCATGCGAGAGGCAGCCACTCGATGTGTCCCTTTCACGTCCATGTTTTTCTCTGTCTCTCTTTCTTCCTCTCTCCCCCTCCCACTCTGTCTGAACAAAAGTGGAAAAATGTCCTCAGGTGAGGATAAAAAAAAAAAGTATGCAAATCTCTACTGATTTTCATTTGCTTGATATATCAATTATTGAGGCTAGTTGAAATCTATTCTCCAATGAAAAATTTGCCAATTTGTCTTTGTAGTTCTATTAACTTTTGCTGTTCATAGTTTGAGCCTATATCATTAGGTGTATACACATTTAGAATTATTATATTCTCCTGGTATATTGAATCATTTATTATTATGCACTGATGTTCTTTACCCCCTAAAATGCTTTTTGCTTTAAAGTTTATCTACGTGGTCTGATATGAATACACCAGCTTTCTTTTGGTTAGCATTTGCCTAGTATATTGTTTTCAGCTTTTTGCTTTCAACTTTTCTGTATCTTTATGTTTTAAATGTCTCCTGTTGTTTTTTAAAAATTTTATATACTTGTGGACAATCTCTGATTTCTAACTGAAGTATTAATCCACTTACTTATAATGTAATTACTGAATTTAGATTTAAATATACCATTATATTTTTGTCCTGTTTTTCTCACCTGTTCTGATTCTCATTCATATTCATTCTCTCTCTATCTCTCTCTCTCTCTCCCTCCCTCTCTTTGCTTTTTAAAGATTACTTGAGGCCCTGGCCAGTGTGGCACAGTGGTTGGAGCATTGACCTGCACACCGAAGGGCCAAGGGTTCAATTCCCGGTCAGGGGCATGTACCTGGGTTGTAGGTTCAATCCCTGGACCCTGTTGGGGCACATGCAGGAAGCAACCAGTTGATGTTTCTCTCGCATCAATGTTTCTCCTCCCTCGCTCCCTCCCTCCCTTCCATATTCTCTGAAATCAATGAAAAAGTATCCTCAGGTGAGGATAAACAAACAAAAAGATTTTTTGGTTTATTTTCATTAGTCCATTTTTCCTCTTTTTAAGAGTTAAAAGTTATGACTGTATTTGCAACTTTAATTGTTACTCTGGAAATTTTATCAAGTATACTTAATAAAGCCTAAAATTAATCTGTTTCTTCTTCTTGAACAACACAAGAATTTTA